AAAACAAAAAAAGCGATCATGGATTACAAGAGAAGAAAACAAACATTTTGATCATGGATTACAAAAAATTCTATTATGGGTTACAAAAAACCAAAAAATTCGATCATGGATTACAAAAAAACAAAAACAATTCGATCATGAATTATAAAAAAATCGATCAAGTATTACAAAAAAAAAATAAAAATAAAAATAAATAAATAAATCCGTACGAACTCGCCGATTCACTGTTCGGACTCGCCGATTCCGTACAGTGAATCGGCGAGTCACTGTGCAGAATCGTCCGGTTCTCTCTAGAACCGAACGATTTCCAATTTTTCAACCGATCCGGTCCCTTTTTACGAATCCGAGTCAAAACGGGCGAATCCGGTTCGACTTGATGTTTTTTAAAACGCTCGATAGGACTTATCTATAAACACTAATTAATCTTGAAAATTGACAACCTAGAAAATAAAAATACATTACAAAATACACTATTTTTAAAATAGATTTCAAGATGCACTATTTCTAAGACTGAGAACCTACTGAATAAACGAAACTACCAACAAAATTACGAAAATAGAAGGAAGGCATTTCCCAAGGATCAAGTTATCCCATTAAAAATAACAATTAATTTATCCCACAAATACAACAATCCCATGGAGACAAAAAGTAATCTGCAGCTTGTAGATTGAAAGAAGATGAATAATGCAATGACATAGAAAAAGGCAATGTTCCCCCTTAAATTCACAACAAAACACACAGGAAACCATGTAATATTCCAAACAAACCATAAACTTCAGTCCCAGATAAAGCATAGACATATGACTTTTGTGGCGAAAACACAAAAACGCCATTTTTGTAACTAAAACCCCTCCTCTTGCATTAGCCTGAAAATTCACAATGATAATAACAGAGAACAAATGGAATAGACCCAATAACAATAGATGAAACAATCCAACAAGCTCATAAAAAAAAACAGGGGACGGATCAGAAATAGAGAGAAATGGTAGAGAGAGAAATCAAATTAGCTAAAAAAAAAAAGAGAGATAATAAACCAGATATTTATTACAGAGACAAGATGGAGAGCAACCAGATCGCTCAACCATTAAAGCACATCCAAAAAACCCCAAATTCACATAGATGATGTCAAAAAACACCATCGAGATCAAAACCCATCAAAACAAAATCCACAATCTAACCACTGGTAAACTTGGTAACCGCCTTAGTCCCCTCAGAAACAGCATGCTTAGCAAGCTCGCCAGGCAACGTCAATCTCACCGCCGTCTGTATCTCCCTCGAAGTAATGGTGGGTTTCTTGTTGTATCGAGCCAGCCTTGAAGCCTCCTGAGCCAATTTCTCAAAGATATCATTGATGAAGCTATTCATGATCCCCATGGCCTTACTGGAAATACCGATATCAGGGTGGACCTGCTTCAGGACCTTGAAGATATAGATCTTATAGGTCTCTGTAACTTTCTTAGACCTCTTCTTCTTCTTCTCTGGGCCACCTTCTTTGGGGGTTTTCTCAGCCTTTGGCTTCTTTTCAGCTGGGGCTTTCTCTGCTGGTTTCTTCTCAGCGGGCTTCTTACCAGCCTTGGGCGCCATTAGAGTCTCTAGAGAGAGAAATTGATGAGAGAGAAAATACAGGAAGAGAGAGAAAATACAGAAATTTAAGGTTAGTGGTTGGTGGATTGTTTTTGGAGCGAGGGGAGTTTAGTTATTTATAGAGAGGGGAGGAGGCGTAGCGGCGCACTGTGATTGGTTGCTTTCAAGAGGGATGGATAGATTGGGCTCGGGGTTAAGAAGGAGATCTGGACCGTTGATTTGTGGAGTTCGGGTTATGAAGGTTAGGATCGTCGATTTGAGTCACGTGACCACGACAATGCCGGTTGTTTGTAATGGGATCGGAGTTCAAGACTTCAATTTTTTGCACTCGCTTAAAGTGAAATGACGAAGACGCCCTTGCAATGCATTTGTTGTTGGTAGAAGAGGGGAGTCAATGTTTGTCGATGGATCGGTGCTTAAATTCTTTGAATAATAAGAAAATGAAAATAAGTGAATATGATAAAACGATTATATGAAAAAACTAACATGAGAGGTTATTATATATTCGATTTGAAAAAAGTTTCTATATTTCTCCTACAACATAGAAGATTTATGTTTTACTTGTCATCCAGCCATTCAATTTTAATCAAGAGAGCCACTCATTGTTTGATCTTAGATTTGACGTTTCAAAAATATTTTTTTTATTATTTTTTATATAAATTGTATGAATATGAAATTTGGTACGTGCTATCTTCTCATTGGAGCATACTTATAAAAAATATTAAAAATAAATTTTAGATAAAATATAATGACTAAAATACCCCTTAAAACTTTTAGGGGTAGTTTGGTCATTTTATTTTATTAAATTTTTTTTTTTTCGCTAGTACGAGTTTAATAGAAGATTGGACGTACAAAATTTGGTATTAAAATAGTTTGTAAAACAAATTAAAAATAAAATAATGTAAAGACGTGACATTGTGATTGAGGCAATCTTAGCCCTCTATTCAGAATGGACAGTTAGATAAGAAGAAGTATATAAGTTTTATGTTGTAAGGGAAGCATAGAAAGCTTGACCATTTGATTTTGCATGATCCTTTCGCACAAAAGATTACTTACAGGATAACGTACAAATTTTCAAAAAGAAAAATTATTTTTAAATTTTTTTAAGAACTATTAATTTTTTAAAAGACCTTAAAATTTATTTTTTAAAAGAACTGATGCAAATTTATATTTTATTTTTTAAAAAGGAACTTTTTAGACCCCCATAGCTTTATTGAAACTTCTAATCTCTTCATTGATTTTATATATTTGAATATATATATATATATATATATATATATATATATATATTGGGGTAAGCATCTTTGAATTTTGGTTTGGAGATAATAATGTTGAAAGGAATATTAAATTAAGAATTTTGATTTAATAAAAAATTCTATGAAAAAAATTTCACTAATGAATTCCCTTGGAAATTATTGTACAAAAGATATGAGGAATGTATTCCTCGAAAAAATAACCTCTTAAAACGACGGTAATCTCAAAATAATATGTAGAGTTAAAGAAAGATTAACCAATTGCAATCTTTTTCTCTAAACCAAGAGTATTATTAAAAAGAGCAAGAGATAGATTTAGTCACAACCAAAGATCCAGACCACTAGGAATTCGGGATAAGGTTCATATATTTGGGTTTGTTTACATATGTTGTTCAGTACAAGTAAGTATTTTGTTCCTTTCTTTTTGTACAAAGCTCTTTGATTAAATTCACCTTTTTCGAACAATTTGGATGGACCACTATTTTACCTTTTGGGTTTTTGTGTTTTTGTTAACTTAGAGTCTTTGGTTTTTTTTTTTTCTTTTTCTTTTTTCCTTCTTCCAATAATAATCGCATAACAGTTCTTATTAGTTGTTGATGTTATTATTATTATTATTATTATTATTATTATTATTATTATTATTATTATTATTATTTGACGAAGTTCAAAATTTATTGATATCAAAGCAAGTTACAAGACAGCAAATACATCATCAGCAATCACCAGTGCATTGAGAGAAGCAACCTTTTTAGTTAAATAGTTCACCAAATCATTGGCTTCCCCATACACATGAGCTAAGGATGAGGTCAAAGAGGACATCAACTAAAAGATCTTAAACCCAATGGATTTCAGTTGCCAAAGAAAGCATTGCTCTTTCAAACACCATTTAATCACATTTATCGAATCTCCTTCAATGTTAACACCTACTACTGTATTTCTGGCTGCTAGATTTTTCAGGCCATGAAAATCGCAAGAAGTTTTGCATGATTTACCGTAGTGATTCCACATGGGCCAGCATATGCAGCTAAGACATCACATAATGCTCCACCATAGCCAGCTAGACCTGGATTGCCCAACGAGTTTCCATCAAAATTTAGCTTAAACACTCCTGGGTCAGGTGGCTTCCATCTAGTACAAGGTCTAACTTTAGGCACATCCAACTGAAAAAGGTTGGAGAGATTAATAGAAACATCAACCTTGGATAAACCCTTGCCTTCTTTGATGACAACTAGTCGTAACCAAAGGGAGATCTTAATATTATTTAATACCCTATGAAAACAACAAGCTTTCCCTTCAAAGGTTCTTCGATTTCTCTCCAACTATACTTCTCAAAGAAAAGTAATCTATATGTTATTATTATGTTTAGGATTGTCGGTGTTATTTCATGGTACCGTCCCAATTAAGCCATCATATGATTTATTTATGGACACGGTTTCTATGCAGACAGCCTGTATATTGTAGAAATGCGGGTTTGGCAATAAATGTATTTTTTAAATATAATTTGATCCTATTTTTTAAAGAATATATAATTTTTAACATGGAGATCATGGAATTTTTTTTTTTTTTTGAAAACTAGAAATAATAATTATATTAAGAAAACATTTGGATGGTTAGTTACACTTAGTTTTTGATGGACCACCTATTTGCATCCATTCATGATTCTTTAATTTACCTAATTTTTTACAATACGTATTTTTTACCTGATCTTTTATTTCCGACTTTTTAGAGCAAAATCGATATATTATCAGTATTTTGATTTACTAATATATTGTTACTCTCTAACTTGCTTGTTAGTCCCAATTAAAATAAATAAATAAAAATCGATAGACAACTTACTCGAATTTGTTTGTAAATCACACAAGGGACTTACGGTTCCATATCAAATCCTATAGACCAAGTCATCCAGTGACAGGCAACCTTGAGAGTCTTCTTTGGTGAATCTCATTTACCTCTTTTTCATCCTTCTCTTTGTTGGGTGTGTGTGTGCAATTAAAAGCCTTACAACTGCTTGTAAAAAGAAATATATAGTGGACCATGAACTCAATGAAAGTATGGTCCCATATGGACCATATTAAGCAAAGATTATTTGTTGATACTAGACCGTGATTAACGTGTTAGGTCGGTCTGGTTGGGGAAAACCCATGTTACCTAAGCTAAGATAAACAAATTGATGATGGTTATATGGGTTATCCCTTGATGAGGTAATAGTATGCTCGAATAAGTGAGCCAAAGGACTGTGTGACCTTTGTGTGTGATAAAGTCCTTAAGAGATAAAGCCTCATTATTTGTACTATCACACAACATGCATATCGATAGCCGTTTTCATGAAAGCATACCACATTTTAAGGTGAAGCATGTGCATGTGTGAGAGATACCCTATGTGCACGATCGAGCTATAGATTGCATCAGGTCAAGATGACCTTGGTTTTGTCTCTAGGGGGACTTGAAATCCATATATTGGGATGCGACCTCTTACTCATTGGCTAGACTTTAGTGACCTACTAATGATCTCCTGCATGGATTATGGGTCATGAGCAACACTGGGTCGGTTTGAGAAAATATGTGTGGTTCGTAGTTCGCAGTTGGACATAGAGTGCCCCAATGGATATTTATTTTTAGACCATATCGATCATTTTCACATCAAAGCTTTGAATTTTGTTTATTTTAATTATATATGATTTTTATAATTGTTATTTGAGTATTTCTAAATATCTAGATATTTTATTTATCAAATTTGGATTTAAAGAAACATAAATATTAATTTTATAATGATTTAAATATTCAAATAATAATTTTGTGTATTTCTAAAAAATATAAAAATAACTTAATTGCATAGGAGGCCCAATAGGTCTTTTGGGCCCACCATTGCATATTGGGTGGGGCCCATTATGTGCCACCATGGGTTGCACCCCCCACCTAGAGAACCTCCTAATTTTGTAGTCAAGATTTAAAATTTGAGAGATAAAAAAGTATTCATTTTGGAAAGCTTAAACATTAAGGAAATTTTAAATGATATTTTGGATGTATGAGAAGGCTTATTATGCATAAAATAAGAAAGGATAATATTATGGTATATTAATTTCTTATTTTGAATTAATTGATGGGAAAATGGTTTAAGAAATAAAAGATAATAGTCTAGAACCTTCCATAGGATATTGATGATCCATCTATAGAATGGAGAGTTCATATCTATCACCCCGCAAGTCACCCAAGATCAATAGTGCATATTCAATCTCACACGAGTGACAAGCCAAGGAAGACCCTAAGAAACCGTAATCTTGTTCAAAGCACTATAAAAAGGGATTAATCCCTACCCAAATCTCTATACATTATCTCTTACACATAGTTCTCATCTCTTCCTCGCTCTCTCTTAACCTATCAAAGGGGGCACGCCCCACTTCGAGTATCTCTCTCTCCAATAGAAACTCTCTCTTGAAAGCCCTAAAGGAGAGCACGCCCCACTCTCTCTCATCTTATGGTTCTCTCTCATGATGACTCTCATGATATCTCATTTCTCTTTGGGGTTTGGACTATAGGGTTGTAGTGGAAAAGACAAGTATCTCTCTTTCAAACTAGGTTGTTAAGAGGATTCACGTAGTGTTTGAATTTTTAATCGAAGGGGTTCGTGTTCCATTAATATGGCTCGTCCAAACTTGCTTTTCCGGTTGAGACTGAAGATTGCCTATTATATCTCCCGCTATCGAAAAATAGTGACTCGGTGTGGGGTGTAAAATGTCCAGTTGAGGTAACCTCCGACATCCTCTTTTGTTTCTTCCATATTTATTTATTATATCTCTTATTCCCAATCATAGGTTGTATCTTTTCTTTGTTAATAAAAAAAGGTGATTTT